TACCACTCTCCTGATAATCTTCTCCATGACTTTGCATACTATATACGTAAGTGAAACTGGTCTGTAATTTAATGCCTCGTGTCTGTCTCCTTTCTTAAAAATAGGACTGCATTTGCCGTTTTCCATACCTCAGGTAGTTGCTCATTTTCAATGACACACGGAGAGATGTCCAGTTCAACCGCCTTTGAGGTATCAATTTAACATAGCAGCTTCTTCACCACCTCCTCGGTTATGTGTATTTCATCCAGCACATGTTGGTGTATCCCATGTTGGTGTACCCTCCTATTTTGACTTCCCGGAGGCCTTTCTGTCTCCTCTGTAAATACTTCTTTAAATCTCTTGTTGAGCTCCTCACATACTCCTTGGTCGTTTCTTATGAGCTCCCCACCTTCCTTCCTCAACCTGATTACCTTGTCCTTGACTGCTATTTTCCTCCTGATGAGGATATACAACAGCTTCCGACCAGACTTTCGATGCGATGTCGTTGTCGTATTGTCGCTGGTCATCCCTCCTTATCTGTGCATGCTTCTTTCTGGCTCTTCGATTAATCTGTATTTTCCTGGGTCATTTGTCTTCAGTACTTTTTTTCATTCTCTAGCACACTTAGGTTTTCCCTCCCAACAACTTTGGGTGAATCAAGGGCTCATTCTGGCCTTCTCAAGGGCAACAGTAATAATGGGAACAAACCTCTCCTCTGCCTCCTTGCATTTTGTTGTCACGTAGTCCATCATTTCGTTTACTGATTTTCCCTGCCAATTCTCTTTCCCACTGACCCTCTTGCAGAAAGTTCCTCATGCCTGTGTAGTCCCCCCTTTGTAGTTTGTTTTTTTCCCATTTTATTCCTGTTACCCTCTCCGCTTGTATCTCTATGTATTCAAAGCTCAGAACCAAGCGATCACTAGCTCCGAGGGGCCTTTTGTAAATAATATCATCAATATCTGAACTATTCAAGGTGAATACGAGGTCCAGTCTTGCTGGTTCATCCTTGCTTCTTTCTCTGGTTTTGTCTCTAACATGTTGAGGCGTGAGGTTTCCCAGTACCACATCCATCATGGCTCTCCATGTACCGGGACCCCTATGTGGCTCCGGGTTTTCCCGGTCAATTTCCCTGTGATTGAAATCACCCATAACTAGTAACTTTGTTCTACCGGGTGAGCTCTTCTGGCCACCTTAGCTAGCGTGTCCACCAGTGATCTGTTGCTCTCTTCCATATTCTTTTCTTGGCCTTCTGCAGTTTTTGGGGGGTTTTTGTAATCACGGCAATTAACCTTAAGCCTCCAGGCTGAATTTTTTCCCCACTGAGTAGTCCCTTTCCCCCTTCCGCCCATTTTTTTCCTTTTTCCCAAAATCAAAATCCTCCCCGGTTTTTTATGAACAATGCAAGTTTCCTCCCTTCCCCCCCCCCCTCCGCTCCTCTTTTTTTCTTTAGGTTCTGATATCCGTGTGTGTGTTGTACTCGCCTTTTTGTGGTTGCGGGGTCGAGTCATAGCCCCCTGACCCCGCCTTTCACTGATCGCTACGGGTCCTCTCTCTCCCTTTTCCTTAGCTTTTCAAAACCCTGTTTTAAAAAATGGAGGTTCCTACTCCCTGCATCATTTTCCCAGGCTTTCCACTTCCTGAAACTCTATGATGAAGAAATAATTCCTAACATCCTTTGACTAACGGGTTTAAATTTTCCAAATTGTGACCCCTTTTTGTTGGTCCTCTCTGGAACATCCTCTTTTCCCCTTGTAATTCCCCGCCGTAATTTAATTTTTTATCATGGCTCCCCTATCGTCCTGTCCCCCGTGTCGTCAGTTTTGTGGATGAGTTGGTATGTGTCACACAACACACACACACACACAAAAACACACAACCACACACAACAAAACACACACACAAACACACACCACCCACACACACCACACACACACACACAACAAAAAAAGGCACCCGCAATGGGTCAGAGAATTCTGACAGGGGGGCAACAACGGTCATGGTACGCGAGAGGTTTCAGAGTGGGGGGCTGTGACAAGCGGGGTTTTCCCCAGGGGGCATCCAGGACCTGTCTGTTCTTGGTTATGTGAACGACATAAAGGAAAGGGATGACTCAAAGTGTTTGTTTGCAGATGATGTGAAGTTAAGAGAAGAATCAAATCGGAGAGGATAGGCAGGATACAAAGAGACCGGAAGGCTACAAGCCCGGCCCGCAACGGCTCCTTGAAATTTTAACCCTGCCAAAAGCAAAGTCATGAAGATTGGGGGAAGGGCAAAGAAGCCCCAGAACAATATAGTTTAGATGGCCAAAGACTGCAAAACCTCACTTAAGGAAAAAGATCTGGGGGTGAGTATAACACCGAGCAAATCTCCTGAGGCGCACATCAATCAGATAACTGCTGCAGCATACGGGCGCCTGGCCAAACCTACGGATAGCGTTCCGATACCTCAGTAAGGATTCGTTTAAGACTCTGTATACCATCTACGTCAGGCCCATACTGGAGTATGCAGCACCAGTTTGGAATCCACACCTAGTCAAGCACGTCAAGAAATTAGAGAAAGTGCAAAGGTTTGCAACAAGACTAGTCCCAGAGCTACGGGGATTGTCCTATGAAGAAAGGTTGAGGGAAATCGGCCTGACGACACTGGAGGACAGGAGGGTCAGGGGAGACATGATAACGACATATAAAATACTGCGCGGAATAGACGAGATGGACAAAGACGGGATGTTCCAGAGATGGGACACAGACACAAGAGGTCACAATTGGAAGTTGAAGACTCAGATGAATAAAAGGGATGTTAGGAAGTATTTCTTCAGTCATAGAGTAGTCAGGCCTTGGAATAGCCTAGAAAGTGATGTAGTGGAGGCAGGAACCATACATAGTTTTAAGGCGAGGTATGATAGAGCTCATGGGGCAGGGAGAGAGAGGACCTAGTAGCAATCAGCGAAGAGGCGGGGCCAGGAGCTGTGACTCGACCCCTGCAACCACAAATAGGTGAGTGCAAATAGGTGAGTACAAGGTAACACGGTAAGGTAAGATAACTGAAGTAAGAAATGAGAGGGAGGGGGTGCGTTGATTGCATTTTCTTGGATTGCAAGAAGGCCTTCGACACAGCTCCTCACAAGAGATTAGTACAGAAGCTAGATGAACAGGCACGTATAACAGGAAGGGAATACTTAACAAGGAGGCAGCAGCGAGTCATGATCCGTGATGAGGTATCACAGTGGGCGCCTGTGACGAGCGGGGTCTCAAAGGGGTCAGTTCTGGGACCTGTGCTATTCTTGATATATGTGAACGACATGACGGAAGGGATAAACTCAGAAGTGTCCCTGTTTGCAGATGATGTGAAGTTAATGAGGAGAATTAAATTAGATGCGGACTAGACAGGTCTACAAAGAGACCTGGACAGGCTGGATGTGTGGTCCAGAAACTGGCTCCTAGAATTTAACCCCGCCAAATGCAAAACCATGAAGATCGGAGATGGGCAAAGAAGACCGCAGACAGAGTATAGGCTAGGAGGCCAAAGGCTGCAAACCTCACTCAAGGAGAAAGATCTAGGAGTGAGTATAATACCGAGAACGTCGCCAGAAGCCCACATTAACCAGATAACTGCTGCGGCATATGGGCGCCTGGCAAACCTGAGAATAGCGTTCCGTACCTCAGTAAGGAATCGTTCAAGACTTTATACACTATGTCCGTCAGGCCCATACTGGAGTACACAGCACCAGTTTGGAGCCCACACCTGGTCAAACACGTCAAGAAATTAGAGAAAGTGCAAAGGTTTGCAACAAGGCTAGTTCCAGAGCTGAGGGGAATGTCCTACGAAAAATGGTTAAGGGAAATCGGTCTGACGACACTGGAGGACAGGAGGGTAAGGGGAGACATCATAACGACATACAAAATACTGCGTGGAATAGACAAGGTGGACAGAGACAGGATGTTCCAGAGATGCGACATAGAAACAAGGGGTCACAATTGGAAGCTGAAGACTTAGATGAGTCAAAGGATTGTTAGATAGTATTTCTTCAGCCACAGAGTTGTTAGGAAGTGGAATAGTCTGGCAAGCGATGTAGTGGAGGCAGGAACCATACATAGTCTTAAGACGAGGTATGAAAAAGCTCATGGAGCAGGGAGTGGGAGGACCCAGTAGCGGTCCGTAAAGAGGCGGGGCTAGGAGCCGAGCCTGGCGGGGCCAGGAGCAACCACAATTAGGCGAGTACATATGCAGTTGCTGATGTCCGTTCACAGTGCTTGGCCCCGCCCTTTCGCTTGCCGTTAATGCTAAGAGATCCACTCTCTACTAGCTTTAAAAGTCTTGTTAAACCTCTGGAGTTTCTCCAATTTCATGATCTGTTTGACTAGGTGTGGGGTCCATACTGATTTCTCTGACGCATTTATGCTGCATTAGTTATTTGGTTGTTGTGCGCCTCAGGATATATGTTCGGTATGTTACTCACCTCAAATTCCTTCGCCATCAATGAGGTTTGCAGCCTTTGCCACCCGAACCTGTACTCCGTTTGCGGTCCTCATTTTCCTTACATAAGCTTTGCATTTGGTGGTGTTAAACTCCAGGAACTACTTGTGAAATCATGTCTGTAGCCTGTCCAGATCTATTTGTAGACTTTGTTGGCATCTGTCCTAGAACTGATCGTTGCGGAAGCCCTCTGTAACAACACACTTAAATCTACACCGTAACACATACCCACGTGACAGTACATAATACACAGTGGTGATTTCACTGTAATATGCATTCTTGTCACTCCCCTGAAACACACGCCCTTATTACATCACTGTAACACGTACAAGCGTCAATTTACAGTAACACATGCTCATGTCACACCATTACTTACGACACGCATCTTTTCCCAGCTGTGTTGGTTCAGGCTGAGTCTCTCTACGGAATGGGAGAGTTCGAGAGATCGCTGGTGCTGTTTCACCGCGGAGCTCGCAAAAGGCCTGACCTAACTTCCTTCACCCGCGGAATCCATAAGGCCAGGGAGGCCATCATTAACGCAATCGGAGGTAAGAGGAGCACTCATGAATACTCCATCTTTTTCCTACTCTCATAGTAGTATACAGTATTAAGTGAAGCTGGACAAGGTCCATCATAGAAATTACTCGTGTTCACTGACAGTAGTAGATCATGCACTCATGTTTGTGAAGTTCTTTGGAGTCCCAGTAGATCCTGCATGAAATTCTAAAAGAAAGTTAAAACGTATTTTGAGTTGCTGAAAAATTCTTTGTCTGTACAAGGGCTGAAAATTGCATTTTATGAAAACTCAACCAAGTTGGGCCCTGATAATTGTCCAAAACAACACCGTCAACTTGTGTATACATACAGTTGTTATATATAAATAAAGAATTATATCCTCCTAACGTGAATAATTTATGGAACGGGGATGTGTTTAAATTATCTGTATTACCGGTATCCTGGAATAACTGATCTGTGCATATATTTATCTTTGCAATGAAAGAAATATTGGTGAACAAAGATTCCACGTCGAAGGAAGCCATAGAATAATTAGCTAATTTAACATTACATAATTGTTTAGAAAAGGTAAAAGAATCTTTAACAGTGTAACAAATTAACAGATTACTTCGATTTATATCAAGAGGTAAAAGTAACAGGAATCCAAGTTATTTTACACCTTTATACATCACTAGATTATACATCACTAGATTATACATCACTAGATTATACATCACTAGATTATGCAGGTTAGTTTTGGACGCTATATTACAGAATGAATATAAATGCGTTGGAGAACATACAAAGATGGATGCCAAAATTAATCCACTGTATAAGGAATCTCCTGAATGAAGACTGATTAAGAACCTTGAACCTTCCCTCTCTTGAGAGACGAAGAATGAGAGAAGATATCACTGAAGTATATGAGTGGATAATGGGGAATAAACAAAGACGATATTAATAAAATACTGAAGATATAAAATCAAGAACTAGAAATAATGGATTAAGTTAGATAAATTTAGATTCAGAAAGGAAGTGGGTAAGTACTGGTTTGCAGAGTAGTCGATACGTGGAACAATCTTCCAAATAGGGTAACAGAAGCTAAAACCTTGGGAGGCTTCAAAAAGAGATTGGAAAAAAAAAATATGAATGAGAAGGGCTTTGTATGAAGCAAATGCTTGCATAGTTTAAGGAAAAGGCTTGCCAAGTGGGAGTAGATACAGTCAGAGTAAAAGGAAGTAAGGTACAAGGAGAATGTTATTAGAAAGTAAGAGAGGTGAAGGTTTATAAACTAATGGAAGACGCAGTTAGGGTATAATATAAGCAACTATTGGTAGGAAGATGGGTTAGTGAAAGAATAGGCAATGAGATTGAAGAGGAATGGGATAGATATAAAAATGCAGCACTAGAATGTTCAGCAGAAGTTTGTGGATACATAAGGGAGGATGAAGGAAGGAAGAGGATCGATTGGTGGAATGACGAAGTAGAGAGCAGTAAGAGATGATGATGATACCATATGAGAGATTTCTACAAAGTAGAAGTGATATAAGGGAGGAAAGGTATATGGAGAGAAAAAAAGATGTTAAGAGAGTGGTGAAGGAATGCTCAAAGAGAACAAATGATAGAGTGGGTAATATGCTGTCAACAAATCTCGCTTAGAATACGAAAAAGTTTTGGAGTGACATTCATAAGTTGAGAAAGCTTAGGGAACGAATGGATTTGACAGCTTTCTAAACACTATACATGCTGCCCCGAGAACATTTATTCAGCATATAGAAATTGGATCGAATAGAAATGACCCGAAATGAAAGAATAATAGGCTCAAACATGTTTTGGGAGAGAAGAAAGGAGTTCAAGGGCGCATCAAAAGAGGTGAGGGTCATCTTACGAGGGATTTAAAAACTAACCCAAAAGATTATTTTCCAGGTTTGTAGAACAAAAGTTAGAGAAAAGATAGGTCCCCTTAAAAATAACTCTGGGCATCTTGCTGACTGGGAGAATAAAATAAAATGTGTTCTAGGTTTTCACATAGGAAGACACTAACAATATCCCAATAACTAACTTTTATAGTGGGCCTGAAGAAGATAAATTATGTAATATCACAGTCACTAAGGATATGGTAATCAAAGAAGTAGACCGACTGCAACAAAATAAATCCCCGGGCCCTGATGAGTGCAAGATGGAACTTTGTGAACCATTAACTAACATTTTTAATATATCTCTTCAAACAGGTGTAGTGTCTGATATGTGGAAGATGGCCTTTAGGAATTACCTATTTTTAAATCAGGAGACATTCAAATTACCGCCCAATAAACCTGACCTTAATTGTAGGCAAATTACTAGAGTCAATTATTGCTGATATTATAAGTCATCATCTTGATAAGCATATGATTAATGATACTCAGCATGGATTCACGAGGGGCCATTTTCTTCAGTAAAGCTTTTGAGGCTATTGATAACGATAAAGAATTTGATATTGGTTATTTGAATTTTATTAAGGCCTTTGATAGAGTTCCACACCAGAGACTGCTAAAGAAAGTAGCAGCTCATGGCACTGGGAAAAAGTGCTGTCATGGATCGAGTCATGGTTCACCAATAAGAAGTAGAGAATGTGCATAAATGGGGTAAAATCTGAGCGGGGATTTGTAACAAGTAGCAATCTACAGGGATCGGTTTTAGGCCCATTGTCGTTTATAATATACATCAATGATGTTCGCGAGGGAGTCACTAGTGACATGAGCAAATTTGCTGATGACACGAAGATAGGGTTATAATCGATTCAGACGTAGATGTCACGGAACTTCAAGAGGATTTAAACAGAGTTCGCGGTCAGAAAAGTGGCAGATGCAGTGCAGTATAGACAAATACAAAGTTCTGAAGCTCGGAAATGTTCATAACCCCAGCACTTATCAGCTAAATAATGTAGAACTTAACCGTATAGAATGCGAAAAGGACTTGGGGTTTATGGTAAGCAGCAACCTTAAACCAAGACAGCAATGTCCAAGCGTGCGTAATAAGGCGAATATATTACATTAGTGGGGCATCACCTAGATTACGCAGCTCAGTTCTGGTCTCCATACAAGAACATAAGAACAGAAGAAAGCAGGAACACTGCAGTAGGCCTGTTGGCCCATACTGGGCAGTTCCTTCTGAAATCCAACCCCACTAACAGAATAAACCATACCACGGGTGGGGTTTGAACCCGCGGTCAGAGACTGACCGCGGGTTCAAACCCCACGCGTGGTATGGTTTGTTTCCAATCGTGTCATTACGATTTCGTGAGCCACTAACAGAATATTTGCCCAACCCTAGCAATAAGCTCCGATAAATCCACTAACTCATGTGAAAGTCCCACTCAAATCCAACGCCTCTCACTCATGTATTTATCTAATCTTCGTGTCATCAGCGAATTTGCTCATATCACTAGTAATTCCCTCGTCAAGATCATTGCTATATATTATAAACAACAATGGGCCTAAAACTGATCCCTGTGGAACGCCACTTGTTACAGATCCCCATTCAGATTTTACCCCATTTACGCACACACTCTACTTCCAATTAGTGAGCCATGACTCGATCCATGACAGCACTTTTTCCTCAATGCCATGAGCTGCCACTTTTTTTAAGTCTCTGGTGCGGTACTCTATTAAACGCCTTACTAAAATCGAAATAAACAATACCGAATTCTTTATCGTGATCAACGGCCTCAAAAGCTTTACTGAAGAAAGTTAGTAAATTAGTTAGGCAAGAACGTTCCCTCGTGAATCCATGTTGAGTATCATTAATCAAATTATGCTTATAGAGATGGCTTCTTATAATATCAGCTGTAATTGACTAGTAATTTGCCTACAATTGAGGTTAGGCTTATTGGGCGGTAATTTGACGGTAATGACTGTCCCTTGTTTTAAAAATAGGAATTACATTGGCCACCTTCCACATATCAGACACTACATTTTTTTTTGAAGAGATACATTAAAAATCTTAGTCAATGGTTCACAGAGTTCCATTTTGCACTACTTCAAAACCCTTGAGAAAAGATCATCAGGACCCTGGGATTTATTTTGTTTCAGTCGGTCTATTTGTTTCATAACCATTTCGCTAGTGACTGTGATATTACATAATTTATCTTCTTCAGGCCCATTATAAAAAATTAATTATTGGGATATTGTTAGTGTCTTCCTGTGTGAAAACCGAGAGAAAATAATTATCAAAAATAGAGCACATTTCATTCTCCTTTTCAGTCAGAAGCCCAAAGTTATTTTTAAGGGGACCTATTTTTCTCTAACTTTTCTTCTGCAAACCTATAAAAAAACTTATGGGTTAGTTTTCGAATCCCTTGCAACTTTAATTTCGTATTACAGTTTAGCTTTTATCCCCTTTGTAACCTCCCTCTTAATGACCATATATTTATTCATAAGATGACCCTCTCCTCTTCTGATGCACCTATAAATTCCTTTCTTCTGCCCTAATAGATATTTGGGCCTATTATACATCCATTGACGGTCATTCTATTCGATCCAATTTCTTTATACGGAATAAATGTACTTTGGGCAGCATATATAGAGTTTAGAAAGCTCTCATATTGATGGCTCTCTTCGCTACCTCAGTCAACAGATGACAATTGTTCTCTAAGCCCATTGTAATGTGCTCAGCGAAAATCTGGGATCATTACTAAGTTATCCCTACTATCTTACTTCCATTCAGTGCTACAGGTAATTGATTTGTGGTCGCTTGCGCCAAGTTCCTCTAAAATTTCTAAATTATTAACAAGGGTTTCTGTTTTTGCCAGAACCAAGGTTATTTCCCTGGATAGGTTCTATGACAAACTGCTTTAAAAAACAGTCCTGAACTACCTGTATGAAGTCGTTAGACTCTAAATTCCCAGTCAAGGAATTCTAACCAATATGATTAAAGTTCCCTAGAATTACTACATTATCGTGCCTTGTGGCCTTAAAAATTTCCTCCCACAGTAGTCTTCCTTGGTCTCTATCCAAGTTTGGGGGACGGTATATCACACCTAAAATAAATTTTTCTTGCCTCTCTGAAAATTCTA